CCCTCTGGAGGGGTGGGGGTGACGGTGGGCGCCGGCACTCACAGAGCGGCTGGAAGCCGTGTGGGGTGAAGTACAAGTTACAGTCCCTACTGAGCTGTCTGCCTGCCGTGCTTCCTGTTTTCACTCCGCATCTTCCCGTCGGAGGCTTCTCTTAGTTTCTTCATACTGGCGACTGTTGTCGCGTCGGTTGGGGACATCTGGGAAGATACCTGCCGTCTCACAGTATGGGGAAACCGTGCTCCTTCAACGTTGGCGTGGACTGGAACGTGGGAGGCGGCTAGGCTTTCACTTTAACCTCACAAGGGGCTTCTCCCTTCCTTGGTTCAAGTGGTGGGCTGTTATTTTGCTTAGGAAACTGGTGAGTTTCTTTATGTCAAGGGCAGAGCCAGGTGAATGTGAAGTTAAGTACTAAGTCACAGCAGACTGCATATAGACAGAAGGTTTTGGTTTCATTTCCCCGTCTACGTTTGTTTCATATGATAATTTATACAGTGTTTGCCATAGAACACTTTCGAAAGACTTCCCCAAATTCGAACAAAATCAATAAGTGGGGACACCAGTCAGTTTTTTCATCTCTACAAATTTTAAAGAAGACAATATTGTTCAAGAACCGACATATATTGTTCATCAAATTAGCATTTACTATTTAAAGTGTGTCAGGCATTGGAAATGGTAAGCTAGAGAATAAACGGGTTTCTGTCTTTTATTTCTCATTTTCTGGCCTGGGAGGTTATACAAATGAATAATTACAAACTAGGGATTGGAGAGAGTTGTTTGAGTTTAAGAGCCCTGGTTGTTCTTCTAGAGGATCAGTGATTAGAATCCCAGCACTGACTTGGAAGTCGGCTCTCAATCATCAGTAACTTGTTCTAGATCTGATAGGTGCACAAATGTTGTGCCCAAAGTCTCCTGACCCTCAAAAGACCACCAAGATACCAAATGCGGTACAAAAGCAGAGTCTTTATTATGAGTTAGCTCGGGCCTTTCCATCCATCTGAAACAGCAGCAGAACAGGAGAGAGCTTTTATTGTGGTTGGAGGGCAGGGCTTGGCGGATTCCAAAACTGTATAGTAACAGACTTGAGATTAACTCAATCCCTGGAGGAGTTGTAATATTTTAATCTCACCCTAAGAGTAACTGGAGTTGTTTGTCCTTTTCTGATTGGCCTCTCCCTGTGGTGGGAGATGTTTGTAGTTCTTTCTGTAAACTAGGGCTAAGGTCAGGGGCAGTCAGATGGGGGACTGCATCCTGCTCAGGTCTTTGTGCTGTGGCTGCAGTTCTGCTGAGGCCTGGGTCTCTTACAAACATACACAAAGCACCAACACCTAATGATAATAAATAGTAATAATTATGGAGTCGTGTAAAAATTGCCAACTAGATAGTAGTAATAAAGCAGTTGTAGGATTTCTTTTCTTTCTTTCTTTTTTTCCATCACATGACAAAGCTTTATTCATCCTCAGCAGCTAAAGACAGGCAAGCTCATGGGCTCTGTGTCACTTGAGTATGGTGTTACCTTCTGCCAGTTCTTTCTCGATCCGTTTCAGCTCATCTAGTCTCTTCTTTTCCTCCACTGCCATCCTCTGCCCAGGGTTTTAGGTAACTGTAGCGTTTAGCCCCGTAGGCCATGCTGAGGACCAGGGCTGAGTATCGGCCGAGCTTGATGAGCGGAGAGACCTGAACCGGGGGTACCATCTTGTCCCTGACCTTTGCAGTTGTAGCTTGGCTGACCTAAGACAAACAAACAAAAACTTTTTATTTTTATTTTATGTTTATGACTGTTTTGCTGCCTGTGTGTCTGTGTACCACATGGGTACAGTGCCTTCAGAGGACAGAAGAGGGTACTGGATCCTTTGGAATTGGAGCTACAGGTAATTGCCTCCATGTCTGGGAATCAAACTTGGGTCCTCCTGAAGAGCAGCTAATTCTCTTAACTGCTGGGCCATCTTTCCAGAACCATGACTTTGAATTTGTCTTCCACTTGGCCTGAGCCTCTAGATGCTGGGGAGGTCAGAACTCTGTGTGGTGGTAGACTTTGTATTGGAATCATTTGAGGGATGTCTGTTTTTCAAGCATATTGAGCATACAGAAATGGATTCCAAATGGCTTAAATGTTTGAATGGACCAGAAAAAAAGTAGAAGAAAACTTAGGGGAGTAATTGAATAATTGGTGTAATTTCTAAATGCTGCAAAGAAACTAGGTTTATGTGAAAGAGAATGCCACTGGGATGTTTGATGTTCTGCTTTTTGGTAAGGGGCCTTCTACTTGAGCAGATTGACTCCTGTGAGGAAGTGACCCTTCTGATTTGACTTGAATGGTGAAAAGAACAGAGCGAGACAGAAATGTCCAGACAGAAGCCTGAAGTAGGATTGAGGTACAGAGAGGCCAGTATAGCTGGTGTACAAGAAGACTGTGCCAAGAGATAAAGTTGGAGAGGAAGGAAGAGGTTAGTGTGACACAGCCTTGTGTTCAGGACAGTGACAAGGCTTGATGAGTCCTTGTTATGGTTACTATGTAGAAGAGTGTGATTGTGGAGGTTTTGTGAGGTAAATGTGTAACTTATCTTCAGAACTCCAGTATAAATTAGTTGGAAATAGAATATTTATAGCTGTAATTCAACTTAAGATAAGGTCAAACTGTATTAGGTGGGCCTTAATCCAATCACCATTATCTTTGAGGACTGAGCCCAGTGCCATTAGGCAGGCACTCTACCACTGAGCTAAATCCCCAATCCTGACTATTATCTTTTTAAGAAGAGAGAAATTTGGTCTTAGAAACACAGGAAAATGCCATGTGAAGAAAGCAGATTTGAGTAATCCATTTACATAAGCTGGTAGCATAGCAATAGAGAAGGAGGGGTTTGATTAGAAATTCTTATTTATAAATATGTGCATCAATAACAATTTCTCTTCTAAAATTTTATTATTGTATGTTATGTATGATGTATGAATGGGTGTGTGTTGGTGAGTTTGGGCGCATACCATGGTGTCCATGTAGTGGTTGAAGGATAGCTGGTTGAACTGTTGAGTGGGTGAGGTGCTATTAAGATAGCATAGAATGGGATTATAGGGAAAGATGGAGCTGACTTGTGCTGGCTAGTTTTATTGTGACTTAGCACAAGTTAGGAGTCCTTTTAGAACAGCATACCTCAATTGAGAAAATGCCCCCACCAGATTGGACTGGACCGAGGGCAAGCCTTTGGTGCATTTTCTTGATTGATGATTGATGTGGTGGGAGAGCCCAACATATTGTGGGCAGTGCTGCTGCTGAGCTGGTGGTCCTGGGTGTGGTAGGAAAGCATTGTGAGCTAGTGATGAGGAGCATGTCCATAAGTAACTTCTGCTATATGACTGGATTGGCTAGAAATGAAGACTTTGCAAAGTATATATGCTCTTGTATTTTGGAAAAGTTTAGGACAAGATGTTCTCAACCTTGGTACTATTGGTAGTTTGACCTGGATGACACTTTGTGTGGAGTGCTATAGTGTGTTCTGTATGTTTGGTATCTTGGGTTTAGCAGATGCCAGTGACAATTATTGTCTTTTTCATATCCCCAGTTTGTGACACTGAAAAATATCCACAGACATATACAAGTGTTTCCTGACAAAATGGACTTGTTGAGAATGACTAGTTTAGACTTTTTATTTTGCTGTTTTTTTTTTATTGAGCTATACATTTTTTCCTCACTCTCTTCCTCTCTTTCCCTCTCCCCTTTTCCCTGCCCCCACACACTCCCAATTTACTCAGGAGATCTTTCTTTTTCTCCATCCTAGGCAGATCCATGTATGTCTCTCTTAGGGTCCTCTTTGTTATCAAGGTTTTCTGGGGTTCTGGTCTGTAGGCTGGTTGTCCTTTGCTTTATGTCTGATATTTACTTGTGAGTGAAGGCATATTTGTCTTTCTGGGTCTGGTCTGTATTATCTCACTCAGTATGGCCTTTTCTAGTTCTGTCCATTTTCCTGCAAATTTCAAGATACCTTTTTTTTTTTTTTTTTTTTTTTTTTTAACCACTGAGTAGTACTCCATTGTGGAAATGTACCACATTTTCCTTATCCATTCTTTGGTTGAGGGGCATCTAGGTTGATTCCAGGTTCTGGCTATTACAAATAATGCTGCTATGAAAAGAGCTGAGCAAATGTCCTTGTGGAGTGAGTTTGCATCATTTGGATATATGCCCAAATGGCCATACTGATTTTCAAAACTGCTGTACAAGTTTGCACTTCTACCAGCAGTGGAAGAGTGTTTCCCTTACTCCACATCCTCTCCAGCATAAGCTGTCATCAGAGTTTTTGTCTTGGCCATTCTGACAGGTGTAAGATAGAATCTCAGAGTTGTCTGATTTGTATTTGTCTTGATGTTTAAGGATGCTGAGCATTTCCATAAGCATCTTTCAGCCATTTGAGATTCCTCTGTTGAGAGTCCTCTCTTTAGATCTGTACTCCATTTTTGTTGTTGTTGTTGTTGTTATTGGATTATTTGGTCATTTGATGTCTAGTTTCTTGAGTTCTTTGTATATTTTGGAGATCAGCCCTCTGTTAGATGTGGAGTAGGTAAAGATCTTTTCCCATCCTATGTGCTGCCATTTTGTCTTACTGACAGTGTCCTTTGCCTTACAGAAGCTTCTCAGTTTCAGGAGGTTTCATTTATTAATTGTCAATCTCAGTGTTTGTGCTACTGGTGTTACATTTAGGAAGTGGTCTCCTGTGCCAATGCATTCAAGGCTCCTTACCACTTTCTCTTCTGTGAGGTTCAGTGTGATTGGTTTTGATGTGATTGGTTATGTTGAGGTCTTTGATCCATTTGAACTTAAGTTTTGTGCATGGTGATAGAAATGGATCTATCTGCAGTCTTCTACATGTTGATATCCAGTTATGCCAGCACCATTTGTTGAAGATGCTTTCTTTTTCCATTGTTTAATTTTAGCTTCTTTGTCAAAAATCAGGTATTCATAGTTATG